AATAAGATAATCCTCAAGTGACAAGCTTCCAACAGAATGAATGATAGGGATTGATTTAAGTATGCTAAACTTATTTCTCCGGCATATTTAAGCTATCTAATCTTTACTTGCTCGACATGGCTTTCCTAAAATGTTCTCAAAGGAACCTAACAGAATAGGATGCCAAGGCATCTGCTCTCACTCAACGATGTTGGTCAGCCTACCCTATTGATAAAAACACACCCTTTTTAGTCGTTGAAATCCTATCATAGTCTCTCTCGAGATCTAAGGGATTAGGTTAAAATATCCCTAGGCCGGTTCAAAGCCCCTTGAAAATACTATAACCCATTACTTATGAGGATCTTGTCTTACGGTTCTCTCGAATACTTACAAGTATTTTTAGCTTAGGTTTCTCCCGAATACCTAAACTTCATCTAAGAAATGGACATTTCCATGCCTCTTACAAGCCTAGATGGTGAAGCATTCATAAGCAAAGCAAATAAAGAACCAAAATAAACTTAAATATACCATTAAAATAAAGTCTAAACATCCATTAAACCAATCACCACCAAATAAGTTAGTTCATGGTGGGGTTCGAAATATCCAAACACAAAGTCATGCAAATATTCATTCTAACAACCCATAAATAAATAAAAAAAATAGTAGCAAAAAGGAAAGTGAGAAGTAGCATTCGACACGCCACCGGAGGTCTCCTCGACTACCACGAATCACCTTAGCTCGCTAGCTCCTCTCGGCACTTAGTACGCCACTCCTTGGAGCTTTATCAATGGAGGAAAACCCAAGGAAGAAGAAAAGGACAAGGAAATAAAAAACTGATTTTTTTCTGCTCTGTGCGTGTGCCTCATCCTTCATTTTCTCCTCTTTTAGTGTCTCCCTTGAGGTGTAATATATAATAAAAATATCTAGGGGTAATGATGAGGTTGTTAGGTGCAAAATACCCCTCATACCCCTAGAATCACACCATAAGCATGAATCTTATCCTCCAGGTGGGAGTGGTCCTATAGCAGCTCTGTCAGGCGGTTACAACAATCATTTCACGTGTAGAGTCAGCTGTCCTCATACAGCTACATCTTTTTGTCATTTTCTACGCCAGAAATGCCAAGGCATTTCAATCTGCTTCAGCAACGTGTGATGCCGCGACATTACTTCCCATCGAATCCTTTTTGCTTGCTATTCCTTGACACCACAGACAAACTGCACCTTTCCCTCAAGCAGCATCATTAAGAAATAAAATAGCATTACTACCACAAATGCAACTATATGCAACTACATGATCCTAAAATGCCTAAAATGAGCTTTTAAACAAACAATAACTTAAGCAAAAAAGGCCTTAAAAGTAGCCTTTTTAGGAAGTTAACAATAGGATTGTTCTATATAGGAGATCTTAACACCCTCTTCATTTCCCATAAGTAGTGTATTATTACCTTTTTAAACAACACCAGAGTTAAACATAGATAGATCATTAGTGACATGATGTGTTGCTCCTGTATCTGGATACCAGACAGTATCAGCAACTTTGGTTGAGGCATTGCCAGAAAGCAATGTGGAGACAAAGGTTGTTGGTGAGGAAGGCATTGAATGGCCAAAAGGATTCTGCCCAACACTAGAACCAAATGACGAATCACCAGAAATTGTATTTATAGGAGGCATTGACATCGGATACGGGACCTGAGGAGTGAACGAATTACCACTCTGATAATAAGGCACTGATCCAAATGACTGCATACCAGGAAAAACTGAGTTAGCAACAGGATGATAGAAGAACATAGGAGATTGAGCAAAACCAAGACTCATCGAGTGACCATATGCATGCATGCTAACAGCAGTCTACTGCTTATCACCCGAGACACTGCGAGACTGTTTCAACCCATCATTAATCGACACAGAAGAGTCAGTCACCCCAGAGTACTCACGATCAAACTTGTGATAGCACTTTTGAACAATGTGGCCAAATTTTTCACAGAGTTGACACTGAGGTCGATTAAAGTTATTGTAGCGAACACGACCTCTACCATGAAAGTTGTCACCTTCTTGATTCCTTGCTGAGTTAGACTGTGACTGAGATGAAGCATTTCCAGCAATGGATCTTGATTCTTGATAATCTTTATCACCAGAATGAGCTGCTATATTAACAGAAGCACTTTCACATATGAAAAGTTTCTGTCGAGCTTCACAATCAAGAAGCATTTAAGTTAGAACATCTAACGACAAAGAATCACGAGAGGCTATAGCAATGATAGACTCAAATTCCATGGATAAACCAACAAAAAAAAACACTAACATGTTCTTGTTCAATTACTAAACTTCCTGCAGCATTCAGCATGTCACAAATGTACTTTACCTTTTCCAGATATTCATTTACTGTCAACCCAGCCTTCTTTTGCGAATGAAGACTATGTCTAAGAGCAGACACTTTTGCACTAGATCTTGAACCAAAAAGTCTTGAAATGGAATTCCAAATGGTGAGCGTGGATGTCAGACCAGTGATGTGAGGAAGGACTTCTGTACTCATAGTGGTTAAGAGCCAAGGCGCTAACAGTTTATCTTGTTGCCTATAAACCATAAAGGCATAATTCTCTTCCTCTTATCCTGATTCATTCATAACAGACTCACTAGATGTTTCCACAAGAGGTAAGTGCTCTCAGATAATTTCGCAATGTCATGCTTAGGAATATGTTGAACTATCAAATTAACCGAAGAGGAAGCCATAGGGGAAGTAACGAGCAAGTAAATCAACAAGAGGCTAAGTAGAAAACACCTTACCACCTACTTACAACACTTCAAGAATTGCAACTACCTTTAGCAAACTTCGCAACCAACAATTGTAGCTATTGAGAAAGACCAAGCTTCCATGCATCGCGTAAAGAAAAACTTAAGAAATACCGAGCAACGGATAGCAAGATATTCCATATCTTGACGAATGATACCATGTTATAGTTTTACTATAGTGATCGATAGTTACAGAGAATAACAAACTAAAAGAAACAAGGAAGAAGTAAGAAGCAAGATTACTGAACTTCATTCATTTCATTGATTGTATTTCTCTCAATCATAGAGAGTTACACTTATACAACTGATAAGAACAATTCTAGAAGCTCTAACAGTTTTAACAGCTTACAACAATCTTAACTAACTCTAACAAACTAACCATGAGAAGCCAGCTAAGCAAATAGCTTACTCCAGGTCATACACACCAACAAAATTATCCTTCTCTTTTAGATTTTATAATCTGTTGCATACAGGTGTCGTCTCAATTACTTTAAAAATATTAGTGTGAAAAATATTCAAGTATTAATTTCAGCAAAATAAAAAAATTAAATATTTTTATTGATAAAAAATATATATCAAATTAAACATTAAAATTAAAAATTAAATAAAAATGTAAATACTAAAAATCAAATTAAATATCAATGTAATATATATATGAGTTAGGATCCACTTACACGATATAAAATTCTTTTAGTGTTACACATATTTAAGGATGGGTGGAACGTCATGTGGGCCAAGGGGCACCACCAAATATTTTTTAAAATATTAATTAATATTAAAAATATATTTTTTTAAAAAAAATAAAGAAAAAAATTAATCAGGTCCACTCAATTGGAAAAAAATTGTATTTATGAAAAATAAAAAGTACTTTAGCCCCGCTTTAATAAATTCCTAATTATATCCCTAAATTTAGACCGTTAGATGAGAAAAAATAGATGATTGATAATTAAATAAAATCACAGTCATCTATTTTTATTCATCTAATGATCCTAATTTAATATAAAACTAAAAAAAAATTATATTATGTAATATAATCTTTTCCTTATATCTACCAATATATATATATATATATATATATATATATATATATATATATATATATATCGTGATCTTCTCATGTCATATTTAGAATTTACATTTTCTATTTAGTTTTTCCTTTAGAATGCTTTAAAAGTTGTTTAGATAAGCTTTGCCTTTAAATACAAATCGAAGTGAGATCATTACTCAATCAGTCCCTTTCCCTTGACATTTTAATTTTGAAGGGTTAAAAGTCAAAAGACTCAAAAACGGCCTTTTGGAGTCTTATTATGCAATTTGTCCCTTAACTCAAGACTTGAGACCATCCGTACGACCATCTGCTCGTACTCTGACATAAAAATCTAAATCGAATTAAAAACACGTTGAATCCTTCAAACCGAGCTATTTCAAGATTTTGATGTAAAGTTCCGTTTAGCTAAAGTTATTATTAACAAGTGGAATGGAACAAAACTTTGGTTTATTACTAATACTTTCGTTTTCTTTCTTTTTTTTTATACCAAAATCATTTGGTTTAAATTTGTTAATGTCTTGGTGCTGTTACGTTGGAGTTCCGAGGGTATCAGAAGTAAGGTTGTAAATGAGAATAGATAGATAGTAAGTTATTCGAGATCGATTTGGTCAAAGTTCGATAAATTCTCGACTCGAGTTTTTAACGAGCTGAAACGAGCTACTTGATACTCGATTCAAAAAGCTCGCGAGTGACTCGAAAAATAATATATTAAAATTTTGTTTTTTTTAAATTAATTATTAATAATATTACCTGTGCTTATTTTTCTTTTTAAAAAATATAGTATAAGGTTTTCATATACTTAAAATTCAAGTTTGAGTTTGTTTTTTAGCTTCAACCGAATTAAATTTAAGAATTTTTTTCGAACTTTTTTAAGTTTCAGTTCATGGTTTAGAGTTTGAGTCGAACTTGAAAATTTTAGACTTGTGTTTCGAGCTGAGTTAAGCTTCATTTTAGAGTTTTCCAGTTGAGTCAAACTCAACAATACTTGAGCTCAACTCAACTCGTTTACAGCCCTAATCGGAGGTAGGTCTTTAAGGTTCATTATGATGTAGGCTTGAAACCCAATAATATTATGGCCGGTTCAAATCTCCCAGAGATTATAGGCTTGAAGGGGCCTACTTTTTCTTTTTGAATTTATAAGAGGTTAGGGTTGTAGTCCTGACTTCTTAGTGAGCCCAATTATTCCAAGTATTTGATAATATGTGCAGTTGCAGGCGCCGTTTTTCGCCATTTAAAGTCGTTTCATAGAATTTTCCGTTTGTTTTGCGGTTATCCCGGAAGCAGCAATAATGGAGTACAGGAACAAGCTCGTTCTCGCTCCCATGGTTCGAGTCGTAAGTAAATTGAACTTCCAATACTAGATTCTTCCTTTCTTATGTACTCCCTTTTCTTTTTGAAAACTTAATTCTGTAGTTGTACTAATTTGGGTTGATCCAGGGAACCCTGCCATTTAGATTACTAGCGTCTGACTACGGTGCAGATATTACATACGCCGAGGAAATTATTGATCACAAGATTATCAAATGCGAGCGTATTGTTAACGGTACGTCAACATATCTTTTGCTTCAGTTGTGTTTTTTTACTTTTTCTGAACTTGTGCGGGATAATTCTGTTGGTGCAACCAATTTTAAGGATTTTTTAATTTATTTTTACTTAACAATTTTGCTTTAATTTCCTGTATACGGGCATGCTTTTAACTTTGAAAATAATTGGAGCATCAATTAAAAAAATGATAATAATAAAGTAAAAACCATGGATGGAACATCAACTTCATAAAGACTTTTGCTTAAATTTCTTAAAATTCAAATAGAGTCAATGAGATGAAAGTGAGAGGAGTGTTGGATATTGAAGAATGTGAAATAGAAACGACAGAGAAAACTATGGATTGCTATAATTTCTGGTGTTTCATTGAATAACTGATTGTCTTTGATTACATCTGCAATCATCTACATAAAGGGAATATTACATTAGGTGGCTGATGTAACAACTAACAAACTTATTTAACAGAGTAACTGATTCTTTAACCGACTAATAACAGAATGAAACAATCTTCAACGAGACTGTCAGCTGCTGATGTTATCATACGCCATTGGTATTGTGAACACAGAGGAATAGAAAGATAATCGCATTGTGTTTTAATGCTCTCTTTTGTAGCCAACATAATAAGTGTTACAATTATATCACACCTTTTCCAACAATAAGACTATAGTGTGATGTCTTTCTCATATAATTGGAATTGAACTGATTTTGAGAGTCATGTCTGTTTCTGGTTCCATTCTTTCTTTCTTTCTTTTTTTGCAGAATATATCGGATCAACTGATTTTGTTGAGAAGGGAACCAATAATGTTGTCTTTAGAACCTGCAATCAAGAAAGGGATCAGGTTGTATTTCAAATGGGCACTTCTGATGCTGTGAGGGCTCTGAAGGCTGCTGAAATAGTGTAAGTCTTATATGGCATTCTTTTTCTCAGTCATGAAGTTGCAATGATGCTCATAAACTTTTTTCCCGCATCACTACACTGTGTCCATACATGTTTTTTTCCCTTTATTCAAGTCAAACAATATTAATATGCAAGTGATAATCTGAAAAATGATACCGCCCGTTTGTCGTGTTGAACTCTCATATGTTAGCATCAAATCACTTTCTTTTTTGTTTCATATGCAAAACTCTAGTTGAAAATTCTCTTCAGCATACCAGAATATGGCTTGTGCTGTAGGCTATTGGAATCCTAAAGGATTATTTATCAACCATAACTGCATAGATAATGGTTGAATTTGGAATCTGCCCGTGATTGCAGCTCAATTGAATTTAAGAAAAACTAACCCATTATCCACGTGTCTGAGGCTAGTTAATTTGTTTTCTATACTTCAATGTGAACTGTGCTTCTAAAAACTCTGGGTTATCATGACAACAGATGATTGATTTAGTAAATGTATGGTTCGTGTTAAAATGCTTTATTTTTTGCCAAAATTTTAGTCATTATGATAATTTGATCATTGCTCCTTTCCAACTACTTGTTTAAGAAATATACGCTTATTTTATTCATATTATATTCTATTTTTGAGGATATTGGCAATAAATTTAATTAAAAGTTATGATATTTTTTTGTCCCTTGGAATCAAAACCCTTTAAATTTTGTATCTTTCTATAGGTGTAAAGATGTTGCTGCGGTAGATATCAATATGGGTTGTCCCAGGTCATTTTCTGTGAGTGGTGGCATGGGTGCTGCTTTGTTGACGAAGCCAGATCTCATACATGATGTAGATGCTGCATATTATTGGATTAATCCTTTAATTTTCTTACCTTTGTCTGCTGTTAAACTTGATCCTTCACGTTATTATTTTGCTAATTCAGATTTTAACAACTTTAAGGAGGAATATTGACACTCCAGTAACATGCAAGATTCGACTTTTAAATTCATCCCATGATACAGTAGAACTTGCAAGGAGAATTGAGAAGACTGGTGTTTCTGCTCTTGCTGTCCATGGAAGGTAACTTTCGATTCAAACTGCCTTTTAAAAAACCCTTTAGAGCCAAACTTTTGTTTGTTTGAGACAGTTATGACTTATGACTTTTGGCTTGACTGCAATTTGTCAATCAATGAGATCAAGATTAATGCTTTTCATATTCCTTGGTTATAATAGATAGCCGCTTCATCTGTTTAAAAGGGATCGGACATATAAGGTCGTAAGGTACCATTTTTAGCCAAAAGTGTAATGTATTTGTTGCTGAAATATCTATTCTAATTATTTCTTCTACTTTTCAAAAGTAAGTAAATAACTTTGTTGGATTAGCCCTCATAAATGGAAAAGGAAAATTCTATCATATTCTCGATATAGCGACCGGAATTATGTTTTTTGTTCTGAAATATGTATGCTAGTTCTTCTAATTGGATTAGTCATTATGAAAATTAGAAGAACTAGCATACATATTTCAGAAGTAGTTAAATCTAAATTTTGTTGTATCATCCCTGGAAATCAAAAATGGAAAAGGAAAATTCTATCATATTCTTGATATAGCTACCAGAATTGTGTTCTTTTTTCTGAATGATATGTATAAGACAACCTTTTACCTGACGTAATTTTTTCAAAATATAATATTTGGCCATAATTTTATAAAAAAATCTGTAACTTCAATTATTAGCTTAAAATTGTAGGGTGAGGGTATTAGGGGACAAAGTTGGTGAAATCAGGCTGGAAAAGTGAGGCATACTTGATGACTGATAGATCGTAAGAGTTCAAACTATCAACTATGAAGGTGCTAGTCTAGTATTTCGAAGAAGGATATTCTGAGAACTGAAGTTGTTTTTGGAAGGTAAAGGCTTGATTGTCAATCCAATGAACAGATATTTGTTGTCTGTAATGACATAAAAGATTGTTATGATATCAACTATTAAAATAACTATGGATACCATATGGATCGTGTTTCTGTGCTGCCATCTTTTATGTTTGAAGCTTTACTCGTTGAGCATTTGGTGCCCCTCCTCTCTTAATGATGTGTATTTTTCATGTAAAAATTGCAGAAAAGTAGCAGATAGGCCAAGGGATCCAGCTCAGTGGAATGAGATTGCTGATATTGTATCATCATTGTCTATTCCAGTTATTGCAAATGGTGATGTTTTTGAATATGATCATATCGAGCGCATAAAAGTTGCAACAGGTAGCTAAAAGATACTTTTGGTTTTCTAATGATATCCTTGTTATCTTTCTGTTCTAAGTTCTTAAGATGGTACATGTTAAGTGACTAAAAGACATTCTTGCACCATTTGTGTTCATCCTCCTTGCCCCAAGCACTGACAAAATGTGACTGTTATATTGCTAAGATCTCCATATGAATGGTTCCCATGATTCCAGACAATATTAAATTTGTATGCAGTTGACCAATTTCAAAGTCTTTCATATTCTATCTATGCTTTTATATTGTGTCCTGATATGTGTTATATATATATGTATATAAAGGTGCTTCATCTGTTATGGTTGCAAGAGGTGCTCTCTGGAATGTTTCAATTTTCTCTCCCAAAGTAAAAGTACATTGGGAAGATGTGAAAAAGGAGTATGTTAGGAAGGTAGGCTTCTCCATACCGCCCAATTTAAGTGCAACTTGAAAATTGAAATTGTTCTCTGCAATTTCCTTTTAAAGAATTGTAGTACTTTTTCTTAATCTCACTCTCGGGGTAAAAGAAACATGATATGAAACAGAAAAGAAATAAATTGTTGAAATAACCCGATGCTTGTTCAGAGTAATGATTATAAATAAAGCAATTTCTTATGTCTAATGCTCCCAATTAATTTTCGGCATCGCTGAAGATTTCTTCAAAATTTTGTAGTATGGTTTCTGCTATGCTGGTTATGTTTTCATATTTTGGCACTGGATTGGACTTGCCTGAGTTTACAACTTTCTTGAACCTCTTATTTCAGAGCATATCATGGGATAATGATGTTAAAAGTACGAAACACACGTTAAAGGAGTTGATAATGCATTACTCTTGCCTTGAATTCCCAGAAGGAAAAGCTGTGATCAAGTCACAAAATTTGGCAGATCTAGCGTAAGTATGAGTTTACTTACCTTTAGGGCTAAAACAATCTGGTTTTGGTTGCCATCTTGCATTATTCTTTTTCTTTCTCATCCCCATTTGCATTATCCATCAATTACAAGATGGTTGTCCATCTTGGTTATTTAACTCCAAGATATGTATCAGCTATGTCACTTGGAATCCGGTGAGTGTCTGAATATGTATTCATCATCAGTATGTTTATTTTTTTGTAATTTTTTCCCATATATTTGGAGAATCAGACTGTCATATCTATTTTAAATATGTGTCAGAAAATGAAAAGCTCGGGTAAGAGATCTTCAGTAACATTCTCTAAGTAGGGTTTTGTTAACAAGCGCGCTTAGGGCACTTAGTTTACTATATATTAGTAATAAGATTGTCGTAAACTCAATAGTTGATAACCGTATTCTTTATTTTTCAAATATCGATGCATCAGATGAAGATATTAGTATATATAGTATAGTAACCTTAACTGTTAGCTTGAAGCTTTAGGCCGAGTTCTTAGTATGAGGTGAGGTCCCTTGTATCAATGTCATTCATTGATTGCATGCGTTGTTCGGTCGCACATTATTATTTTTTTTAAAAAGGTTATCATAATTCCTCCAATGTGTATGATCCTTGTTTTATTTCCACAGGAAAGTTTACGGGGAAGAAGAATATTACGAGTTGGTTAGTGCGAACAGATTCACTCTCAATGGACATAGATGACTGCACCAAAAACCCCCAGTAGGCTGAAGCTGAACAGTGGGTAGATGTATGGGACGAACTCGTAAAATGGAGGTATCCCCCACAAACCAACCTAGGAATCTAAGGGTTCCTATTGTTGTATCTTAGTGAAATATACATGTAACTCAATAGCACTTATTTCTGTAATGTTTTGATGTTTTAAATTAAAATTATGTCAAGAGTAGTGAAGCTGGCATCCGGTGTTCTTATGCTTAGCCTGATTGAATTTTTGTACACTTTAAGCATTCACTTGCAGAAAATTGTTACACTCTTAAATGGTTCAAAATCTGAAGAAATAAGATATGAAATCCGTAATTTTATTCCAGCTTTTGGAGTCACGCACATATGCTACTTTTTGTTATTTAAAGCATAAAAGGTATGAACATATGTTTGTTGTTACTCTTTATATATGCATTTTTTATTTTTTTTAACAGCGAGGTACCAAAATAAAACATAAATTAAATGTTAGATATAATTTAAAAAAATAAAATTTGGGTATCAAAATAGAATAAAAATAATAGTTTAGATACTAACATGTAATTTACCCTAAATAATAATGTGACTAGATTTTGAACACATGAATTTATGCCTTATGATATTATAGTTATTTTTAAAATGAAATACATCTTAATGTATTTGTGTATTGATTTTCATATTACAGTAATATATTTTATTTTGTTTTTGGTTATTGGAGTAGTTAGTACTTTGGCTTAGTATAGAGATGTTGAAGATTTTGTTTGAAAATCAAGGTGATCTCATAATAATTACATGTGTGTGGTCCATAAGCTTAATTTCAACCCTGTCATCAAAATTTATACTTCTTAAAGACACGGACTTAAGAGAAAAGAGCTAGTTTTTTTTTTTTAGTAAAGCTATAAATTTCTTCTTTTTCTTTTTTTTAATTGGTTTTTTGTTAGTTTTCAGCCATCAACATTAAGAAACATTGCTATCAAGTGCCATATTTCCATAAATTAATTTCAAAAATAAATTTTTTTCTTCCATGAATAATTTATTTATATAAATTATGAAATATCTAAATTATCGTAAATTTTCAATCTTAAATTAAAGATAACTATATTTAAACACACCTAAACCTATAAATTAACGTCGAAGCATGAATTTAATTCAACATATGAACAATATGAAAAGATTGGACCTTCAATTTTACAACTAAAAAAATGAACTTTAATTGATTGATTTAATAATGGTGTTGAAGGAAAACGGCTTGGCCATGGTAATGTTGGTGATGATAATGAGGATAGCCGTTTATCTTTATTTGTTTATTATCAATGAAAACTAGGATAGTTGTCCTTTTAAATTTATTATTTATTTATTTCTAAAAGTGTTATTATTATTATTATTATTTGAATTTATTAAGTGATTTTAATGGTTAAAATAAATGTTGTTCTCTGTTGAGGTCTTGATTCGAGCAGTTATATCTGTAGAATGTGCGTTGTTAATGATTAAAAAAAATTTAAATAGAAATTACCTTATAATCACCTAAAAAATTTAAAAAATTATATTAATATTATTTATTTATATGTTTCTATTTTGTGCATGTCTTTATTTAGTTTGTAGGAAGCGACATAATTATGGCCACCCACAACGTTACCCAATTTCTCTAGTAGTAGCTACATGAATTCCAATGTGCATCCCACTTTTTCCTTTTATTATAATGCCATCTCCACTTTCATTTTATGCTTTGCCCTAATTTTTCTAATGAATCACTTGTTTTTTTCTCAAATTATTTATGGGTTTTGTTAATGAATAATTTTTTGTATATATAATATATTCGAGATTTATAATTATCTCCTTATAATATTATTTCAAATTTTTAAATATTTTATTTCTCCTTTAGAGTACAATATATCTTTCTCACACTTGTTAATGCTAAACTGTAATTTCAATATATTCTTTAAGTAAGATATTATTCATACAATTAATGTTATTGTATGCAAACATTTGTTATTTTATTTAATTTTTGGATACACTGAATGAAAAAATTATTATATGATATTGTTTCCTTTAAAGATATTATATAATATTATTGTTCGTACATCTTAGGTTATGTTTGGGACTTAAATTTAAATTTTGATAAATACCAGTTGTATATATTTAGGTTTGACACAAACCTATATTTTTATACTTTTCAATTACATATTATATTAAAATTTAATTATTTATCCATGGATACATTCCATACAAACCATTAATATAATAAATAAAATCCAAATTTATATTTTTAATATTTTAGATTGATTATAAAATAGAATATGTTTATAATATACTTTGTAGACTTTAAGCATCATTTTTTCAAACCCCACCACCATCCCATGTTTCTAGGGATGGGCATGGGTCGGGTTGGGTCGGGTTTTTGGTCCACCCGACCCGACCCGAGAAGAAGGGGACTTCCACTCGTGACCCGACCCGACAAAATTAGTTTTTCACCCGACCCGACCCGACCCGAAATAATAAAAAAAATTATTTTTATTCAATAAAAACAATGACTAAATTGAAAAAAATAATATATAGAGAGGTATTATTGTAATTATTCCTAAATATATATGGTAAAATTATATATTTTTCCCGGGTCGGGTCGGATTTTTTCACCCTAAACCGGAACCCGACCCGAACACCACATAAAAAAACCCGACCCGACCCGAACCCGAATTTTTTTTTTTTAAAAATCCGACCTGATCGGGTCGGGTCGGAACCCGTCGGGTTCGGGTTAGATGCCCATCCCTACATGTTTCCTTCACCATTTTTTCAAATACAGTTCACCTACCACCCAACCACCCTTGTAAATCACTCTCTCCTTTTCCCTCATTTTCCCCGAAAATTTGGGGATGAAATAATCATCTTCTTTGATTTTTTTTTTATAATATGTACTGGTTGGGGTTATTAATACTACAATCCCCCCATGTATCAAGGACGGAGGATTCCCCCGAAAATAGAATGAAAAAAACAGTTTTTTTACTTTGGTTTTCTCTGCATTTTGGCTCTATTTTTGGTTTTTTTTCCTTCATTTTTTGTTTGATTGTAGGGGATTCGGACAACAAGGATAGTGAAATAATTGTAAGGCGTCTTCTCTCATTTTTTCAGAGGAAATACAAAAACATTTCGTTTCTAAAGAAATCTCAATTTATTTTCGAAATACATAGATTTTTTAGTAATAAAAAGAACTGAAAATCGCAATGCAAAGAGATTTTAGATTTACATTGCTTCCGGAGTTCTCGTCGGAGTAGTCGTAACGTCGGTTAGAGGGTGGAATAGTTGGTGTCGATTTAAGGTGGAAGGACCACCGCGTATGGTGGTTCGTAGCTTGGTGACCGGAAGTGGGGTGGCGGTTGGCCTTCTCGGCCGCTTGGATTGAGGAAAAGAGATTTTGAAGGGGAGTTTGGTTTTGTAAAAAATGAAAGAAATGCATAGCTTTTTTTTGCCTTCACGTGTTTAAAGAAAAGCAAATGGGGGTTTAAATTTTAAATTTTTTTGGGGAAATCATGCGTAAGGTCCCCAGATTCTAAGGGACTTGCTTGGTTCACATATCTTACTGGGTAAATCATGCACAAGTTCCCAGCTTCAGTGAATTTCATACTACGGTCACCCTTTTTTATTTTATTCCGATTATGCATGTTGATGTTGTTTTATTTTAATTTAGTCACTGTTATTTCTGATTTAGCTATTTTTATTTTAATATTTGCATTTTGGTCATTTTTTTATTTCTTATTTAGTTACTAAATTTTATTTTCTTGTATTTTAGTTATTATTATTTTATATTTATGCAATTAGGTTTTTATTTTATATTTATTTTATTTTATAATTTTTAATGTTTTAATTATCTTTTGTTTTAATTATTTCAATTAAGTTTATTTGAACTTGTTTTGTTTCATAGTTTCAATTCTAGATTTAGTTTTAAATTAGATTAATATTCAAATCAAATTGAGAAATTAGGAAGACATTATAGTTTAATTAGGGAGCAATTCGAGTCGAGTTTTCGCATTATACTCCCGATTACTCGAATCAATTGTTTGATTAAAAATTAAAAATTAATTAATAATTAATATTTTCTAAAAATTTTAGTTTAATAATTTAGGTAATAATTAAGTTTTAACTAGTCTCTCAACTTTAGATTTTATTACAATTAGGTCATTATTCTTTTAAGTATTTTAGAACCTGATACTTTAGACTTTGACCCTATTAATCCCCAAACCTCGGTTAAAGCTTTAATATTAGCATAATTAAATAGGTTAAATAGAGCCTCCATTTTAGCTTAGATTTCAAACTAGTCTTTAATTTAGGGGATAATGCGAGTCAGTTCTCGCGTAAACGCTTGAGAGACCATCTCGGTTATTCGATTCAATAATTATTTAAAATCAAATAGGATTAATACTAGAGCCTACACTTTTAGATTTGAGCCCCTATGTTCATTAATTTTCATAATTTGACACTTTAAGCTAGAAAAAGCCTTAATTTACTTTTAATTTAATTAGGATTAAATAAAATTTTGCTTGATTGCATTGTTTTTAAAACTTAAGGCATTGTTCACTTATTAAGGAGTTAATAGTATATCCTCCGTAATTGTGCTCAGGGGGTGACTATTGTTAATTCCCTAAATAAGTCAACATCCTTTTCAAAACCACATCATGTTTTCTAAAAACGAGGCAATGTTCGGTTATTAGACACAATAGTTGATTTGTAACATCCCAAACTACGGATTAGTGATTAAATTGTAAAATTTTAGAATTTGGGGATAAAAGTAGAATAGTTGAATAGTTCAATGATTTATTTGGGAATATTTCTGGAAAATTGTTAGTAATTATCCAAGGAATTAAAGGGCAAAATGGTCATTTGACAAGAAAGAATTTTTTTCCCTTTATATGAATGAATCACGTTGGGGGAAGAATTATCTTCTTCTTCTTCTTACTTTCTTTTTCTCCACCGTGAACAAAGGGAGCTTTAAAGGTGAGTTAATTTTGTTGTTTAATTCTTGGATTTCTAAGTGGATTTTGATTCTTTGGGTGTTATATAAACTTAAGGAAAACTTATATAGGATTTAAACAATAAGATGAGTGAGTTAGGAAGGGATTTGTAAAATGGGTTTTAAGATATATTTTTGATATGATGTGGTTTTTAGAGTTTTGATGAGATTTTTGAATTGTCATGAACTTAATTAAGATATATGAAGTGATATAATTGAATTTGGAGTATATTGAAAATTGGGTATGATTCTTGAAGTTCATAAAGAGGAGAAGATTT